TTTCGCACATTTCTGAGTGAATATATATATATATATATATATATATATATCCACTCGGGAATGTATATATACGCCTCACTTTATGGTGACGCAGACTTTCGCAATATCTCCCTCACCCAACAATGCACCAATGGGAAAACACTGCCAAGACGATCGGAGGCGGGATCGGGCGCAACGACTAAGCAGTTGGTTAACGTGTACCACGCACGGCCTGGTCCCCACCGCATGTACCATGCAGGAATTGGACCTCAAATCAGTGGAAATGCTACGTAGCCGATTCTATCACAGGCTGACTCCTCAACCCTAAATTTAAACTCAAAATACTCCTCTGCAGACCTGTTTATCCTCTCATTTGGTAACCTTGTAGTCTACGAGTTTTAGTACGTCGTGGCGTGTTTATGTAATGCCCCCACGCACATTCACTCTCGGTCCTAATCGCCTCTACGTGTGTCTTTTCTGCCTGTTACGACCTTTCAACTGCGTGTTCTCCCCCGCGAACGTCGATCGGATCCTGTTTCAGACTGATCTGCTGGTCTCGTGCATGCGCGCCACCGCCGAGACCGCTAGCTTATTTGCTAGCCAGAGCGAGCCCCTCGTCCGAATATTCAATTGCAGTCTTGCTTTCCTCGTTTGAAAGCAACAGTCCCATAGGCCTCGTCACCTTTCTTAATGTTGCCTTTTTTCTCTCCACCTCTAGGGTGAAGCCTTCGATCGTTGGCGCCGTCGCCGTTTGGCTTGGCTACGTCGACGCGGCATCAATGCAATGTATGTCAACTTTTGATTGTTGTGTTTTTTTTTCCTCAATGACGCACGATTGACAAATGGAACCACACTTAACCGCTACTGATATTTAGGCAGTCTGTGACGCTCGTTTGATCGAAACCGATATGATAAACCGTAATAAAGGGGAGGAGGGGGAGTTGTGTCTCCATTCTCTTTAGTATTCTTGGCAGGCTTCGGGGGCAAAACTGAGTCAAAACTACCGGTGATTAAATTGGTTACAGTGCCAGACTGGGCGTCTTGCATCCGATCTATGCATACCAGATCGTGTTGCTTGTTGGCCTTGGTGACGCGTGGATCATCCTATCCGCAGACAAAATTGTCTTTGAGAGATGGTTGATGCTTGCGGTTTTCTGACATTTCTCGGTCGATGCGGTTTCGAATCAGAGGTTCCCACAACAACGGAATGTTCCTCCTTCGCAACAATTGTTGTCCAGCTTGTAGGTAGCTTGCACTCCTTGTCCAGGTGCTCTGTATCTCTTCCACCGCGTCCAGATGTCTTAGGTCTATAACCTCCTCCTCGAGATGAGTGGACAGTGGCCAGTCTAGCACTCCTTCACGTCACTTGTAATTAACACAACCGTAACTACAATCTCACAATGAGAGGATCATGCTAGGCTAGCTCTCATTGCATTTGTAGACTCTTTCATGACTGATCAATCCTTAGCGTGTTAAGACCACCTGGCCTAAGCACAGTGAGGGGAATTATCCGTCACGTTGGCATTCCCAAATACATCAAGGACTTACTGGTTCCAGATTCTCTCTGAACCGTCCGTCTGTACTCTGTCTTTAGCGGTGCAGAGTTTTGAAAGTTAATTCCCTGCGAACAGATGCAATTGAGTTCGAGCCCCTTCCATCCCCACAGTTCTTCTCGCATTATGTTAATTCTTCCCAGATGCCAGGTCTTCCGTGCACTTTCCTGCTGCACAGTTTTATTCTGGTCCACTCTGTTTTCCGTTTGTCCCACCTCGCTCCCTTCGTTAATCTGTCTAAAGAACTTCGTTTATCCCATTTACTGTATAATAAACTTACACTTTATACATTCGTCTTTTCCTATGGAAACTTTAATTGAGCCGACCGCACTGCGCCGATTGCCACCACTTTTACTGGCCTAAATTCATGCTACTCGCATATGTGAGTAGTACTTTTTATCAACTGTTGATATTTACCGGGAAACTTTATCTGTCCTCGATAGGTTAAAAAAAGTACATTCCTATGGCTTCATCTTGCCAATTCTCTTCGTAAAATATTATTTTAGAGCAAAGTTGTTTGTCCCAAAGTATTTTTTCGACCTTATATTATTATTAGCTGTAGCGTTTTTATGCTAACTTATGACTACTTCAAACGTTTAAGTAGTCATTGTTCATTAACTTTATTTAAGTTACCGTTATTGTTACTTCATCCATACTGTCTTTTATCTCATTCTAGGCCCTGCATTCTGCTCTTCGATTCAATCCCTTCACACTCACGTGTGAGTAATCTCCACGTCATTCGAAAGTGAGTCCTTCTTTTCCCCTTCGATGGCTAATGCATATCGTTCACATAACAGTCCACTTAATCATGCCTTCAGCTAACTAAATAATAAAGATTTATGCACACAGGCATTTACTTCAGCCTCTCGTAATTCCATTCACTTGAATCAAGTACATAGATTATCTCGGATTATGTTAACTATTGTCAATAAAAACGAGCGTGCGAGTCCCAGGCAGTAACTGAAAAGTAGTTCTTGTCCCAGCGCTTGCATCTACTTCTCAATTTTACCTATTTCTTGCTAAGTTCTAATTTTAAAGCGATGGTTATTTTCACCTTGTTTCCTATTCCTGGAATTCTGGTATTCGTTGTTTTTATTCACTGTTATCTCATACAAGGCTAGCAGGATCACGATCCCGTAGCTTAATGACTAGGGCGTAGGACTTCTAATCAACAGATGGAGTGTTCGAGTTTCGAGTGTTGCAACACCTAGAGATGAGTATAGCTGGCTAAGGACGGCTAATAAGACCGCAATGGCGATTCTCGTCTACCTTGTATTTGTCAGTAGTGTCTATCAGCTTAAAATAAGGACTGTCGGTGTAGGTAAAACCTAGTCGACACACCCCTTTCCCAGAAACGCGTGTTGTGCATCCTCTCCTCTCAGTGACCATTGTTCGAACATTTGGATATATCTACCTGCTACTTTTGCTTCTTGCGCACCTTTTTTCGCCTTTATCAAAGTGCACTGTCAACTTAAACGTAGGAAATTTTTATCTTGCTGCATGGAGGGAATCATTGCTTTGTTGTCAACGCCAAGGTAGGCCTTCTGGCAATTGAAAAAAAACTGAATTGCTGCAATAAAACCGATCCCACGCTCTTGTTCCTTTTATGGGTAAGGCTTTATCGTGGGGCTGCCCAATGGCAGAAGTCCCCCAGCCCAAGTTTCTTCCTGAATTCTTGGTTAAAGGCAAACGAAGTGGTTGCACACACCACGATAAGAAATAAATTAATACCGCTTGTTACTGCTTTACCGAACTAAAGTGTAGGTGAAAAGGTTGTGCAAGGGACAAAAAGAATGAAAGTGGAGCATAGAGACTAGTAAAACTATTATAACAATTCCTATAGGTTAACATTACCCAATGCGTTTTTGAATATTTGTAAATTCAGCCTATTGAAAATTTGCAAGTAGTGTTTTATTATTAATATTTTCCCTCATGCGGCCCTACGATAAATGCCTACCCTAAGGAGTTTATTAGCGTGCACACCTTTGAGGCTTAACAACTTTGTAAAAAACCTAGTACAGCAGTCGCCGGCTATTAAGCCCACCTCGGACCCACACCAAATTGGGCTTAAAAAGCGGCGGGCTTATTATCCGTGGGCTTGATAGCCGGCGACTACTGTACTACTTAAGTTTTACGTTCGGGTCGCAATGGCGCCTTATTATATTCAGGAAATGGGAAGCCGAGTCGCTGAAATAAGAACTTTTTTCACCTGGGATTCCGGCTCTATCTTTGACCTCGCCGGTACGCACACAGTGACGGAGGGAGTTAGCGGACGCAGTATATAACTTTCTTAGTGCTCACTGCTGTGAACTATGATGTGTTTGGGACTAGATCACGTTGACC